GTTAGGTATCGTTCTTTCCGTTACATTCTAAGCTGTCTCCAGATGTCTGTCTCTAAGCGCTATTAATTTTAGTTCTGAAAATATTGTAGCAGACAGCTGACGTGCGTGTATTTGTAAACAGCTAGGTTCCCCCGGACCGATGACTGATGTGTTTTATTACGTTTATCATTGTTTTAGTGTTAAAAATCAAAAGTAGTGATATACGTGGTGCATTATAAGAAGATTTAAGTGGTTTTGAAGTGCTGGTTGATGATCCTGAAGAAGTAGGTAGTGATATTGATGTAAATTATCAGCCAGATTCCTAGCTATGGTTAGGCTATGCATTCTTAGCTAAACGCTATGTACTGAAATCAGTTTTTTGCCCATAACTTATTTATTTGCAAATATACTTCCTTATATTATTATATATTTGTAATCCTCATAAAATTTAGAACAAAGTGGCTATTTTCAAATATTTATAGGCCTATAATTTATACAATTTCATTAGCCGCGAACTTATTTTTTTTTTGAAAATTTTCGAAATTATATTTTTTTTACCTAAAAAATTTTTTTTTTTTTTAAATGTTCCTTATGTTTTATATATAATATTGAAGCCCATGATTTTCCAAACAAAATGGTATATAGAACATTAGAATTAACATTGTTTTAAGCTTCTCAGATCCGTTTTAATAAAACCTTGCAAATGCGCCAAAAATAGGTGGACATTAAGGCCTAAACTATGGACACTTGGAGGGTTAAGCTGGATTGGAGTTTGGAAGCCGCTTAATTAAATATTTTCCAGGTGAGGTAACAAGGTGTGATAGGTATAAAGGTACTTGCTCATGATGATTTTTTTTTTTTTTTTTTTTTTTTACATATATATATACATATATTTATAACATATAATATACATATATACATACATTTTTTTTTTAACAAAAGGGGATACCATTCAACTCGAATTAAGTTATTGTTTTTTGTTCTAAAGACTTGGACCTCAAAACCATCAATCATCTATGTGATGTCATCACATCACCTGAAATGTGACAGTGCATCTGAGAGACATGTTGACTACTCGCCCTAGTTCTATTTCGGGTTGAGTAACCCAACTAAATATTGACAGAGTCCCTACTTGGTTCCAGACTGGATAAGGTGGTAAGGTGACCTATCTTGAATTCGTAGAAAGCAGACTTTCGTTTCAAATGAAATTAAATTGACGATTTCCATGAATATATTTTTTTTTTTAACATTCATCAAAATCGTCATAAATATACCTAGGCCTACACTAAGAAATGCATCGATGCTTGTGGCTTGCGACAATGGTCGGCTCAAACGCTTTTGTAAATTCGCTGCAATTAATTTTTAAAAAAAATTATTTATTTTGTTAATTTAAAGTGAAATGTTGTTCAAATGATTCCCTAGTATTTCCACGAGGCGCGAAAAAGTTCTGGCATTGAAATGGATTCCATCTTTTCTTCCCGAAGGGTAATATTTTGCTTCAAAGTATCGATGAGCGCTGTGAGTTGGAATATCCAAACGTAGTAAGTGTGTGGAGTGAGACTGTAAAGTGGCTAAGTATTTGTTGAAGTCATCAATGTGAGCGAGTGCGTTGTTGTTCTGTGCAAGGCGTGGAAAGTTAGGCAAGGCTAGGATTAATAACAGTTTGGGTGTGTGGCGTTTCTTAACTAATTTCAATAAAGACAAAAATTGATTCTTCATATGCATCAATGGCGTATTTCGAATTATGTCATTCGTTCCTAAGCAAATAAGGATAATTGAATTCGGCGGTATCGACGAATGCGTTGACTTATAATGTTTTTTGTAATCAGCTATCGTCGCGCCGGAAAAACAAAATGATTTTTCTAAAGCTATTAATGATCTGTGCTCCTGCAGAAAGTTGGCATATCTACAGAATTGGGAGTCACCCATTAAACTAATTGCGTACATTTGTAATTGTGATTTTGTTTGATCCTTGGATGGTAATAATTCGAAGGGGGTGGGGGGGGGGGGGTTATGATGTGCTGATGTGCGGGGAGGGGAATTAATATAATAGGCCTACTAATGAGGTGAAAAATGCAAAATAATTAGTCGTGGGAATTTTCAACCATGTGGGGAAAGCCTAACTTATGCATATAGCACATTAAATAATAGGCCTAACCGATAACAGAGTTAAACAATAAACTTATAAGTTAAATATAATTAGCCTACTGTATTACTCATCAACAAGTACGCTCCAACGCATCGCAAAAAAGAAAATTTGGTACAACTACTAACTGCGGGAAAAAAATTTACTTAGGCTACTGTGGCTGTAACTAAGAATAATGCAACTGTAACTAATTTATAAACAATGCAAACTAATTTATGAAAATTTATTGCAGGCTTAATAATCCAGTAGGCCTAACTGTAAAAAACAAAGCGCTAGATCATGAAAGAGGACCGCCAGTAACAATTAATCTATATCGATGTTTGCGTGAATTGAGGGGGGGGGGTGATTGTCCCGAGTAATGATAGTAAAATGTTACTACCTTTTGTGTATCGCATGCTTTACTCAGGTACTGAATCAAGTCAGTAAAACTTATTACATCTTGCGGTCAACCCACCCATTGCCTAATTCAACCTAAACTGTTCTAGCAATCACCGTACTAAATCTAGCAAATTGTGTAAAAAAAAAAAAAAAGGGGTGTAAATTTCACTATTAAAAATAAACTAGGCTGCTAAGATCAAGAATAAAGAACAATGACCTGATTCTCTGGTAGGAATTACTTAAGATTAACTACTTAAGACTAACTAGGCCTAGGCTTACCTAGGGCTAAATTGCTTGAAACCACCACAAAAAATTATTGTACCCAAAAGGAGTTAGCCTACACAAAATTACTGTGCATGGTGATAAATATACCTCTTCTGTATGTAAAAGTCAAGGGCCATTGCATTTGAATACTTAAATCAATTTAATCTGAACACACTGCAGCTTTAACCTAACAAACTTACCTACTTATGCTGAATATACTGAAAATAGGCCTAACTAACCTTGGGGAAAAAATATTGGGAATTATAATTATCTGTAAAATAAATAAAAGGTACGTTACTTACTATTACTATTGAAATGTGTTTCGCAGCTCAAAAGGATGCTTCACATAGCCTAGGCACTCACATGGGTTAAGTAGTCCCACGTCGTACTAATTACACGCATATTCGTCACTTAAAATCGGATATTGAAATGAAAATTTATTGTAAACACGCCTTGACATTTGGAACCTCAACTTAATAAATAAATAAATTCCCAGAAGTTAATTTAATATCTTGATGAGTCAACTTGCTCACACGAGGTCACGCCGGAAATTCCAAACTCGATCACGTGATCTGACCTTGCATGATTACACAATGGAATTCATGTTCTAAACCATTACTGAACACCTTAAATTACCTTCCCCGAAAATAAAAAATCGTTTTAAAAGTGAAAATTATGGAACTTAAGACTTACTCAAAGCCTGGCCAGCCGAACAGGATCCCGCGATAGTTACTATGCAGGCCATGATGATGTTACGTAACGCTTTGCTCTGCTACCAACTGTGGGGTCTTGACTGGAATTAACCCAGCTAGATCCACATTTAATAAATATCGTGCTGATTCCACTACCCAATAGCACTCACGTAAACCCTGCCCAGCGTAAGCCAGCTTTGATAAGTCGTGAATAAATTCATTAACTACATTTTTATTTAATTTTAACTACCCCTCGCCATTGAAACTCGCCTGCAGCAACTTGCCCTAAACATGATATCGATAATTGTAAAGTTAATTTAGTTACATCAGTTAATTTATTGTTGGTTGAACCTGCCCTAATTTAGAAAAGATACCCCTTACCCCCTTTATCCCCCAAAAGATTACAATTAATTAGACATTATCGGTACTTTACCAACTGTTGACCAAGGATCAGGACCTCCTTCTTCTTCGGCGACGGATCTCAGACAAACCTGCTTGCCGGCGGTTGGTCTTTTCCGGTTGGAGCGCTAGTCTCGGTCCGACTAGAGCTGTCTGCCTGCCTTTGGATCAGCCGATGGGGTTGACTCTTACCTCAATATATATAATTATTGGCGGTGATGTGGGTTACTCCCACAGAACCGGTTTTGTATGGGCTTCAACCCTACCCCCAGGCTTCACCAGGCAACGCACAAGATATACCGAGAAGTAAGGTACAGAGGAAACCTGCATATGGGACGACCGTGCTCTTTCAGCTCTACAGTAGTTTGTTGTACCAGAAATATACTTGTGACAAGCAAGGAAGAACACTGTGCGCAAAATCCTATTTGCACATAGCAGAGGGTCTTCCTCCTCCACCTAAGCATTGTAGTACATGATGGTGAGGGGGGTCTTTGCCCTAGACACCAGTGACTAGTGCTAGACACCACTGAAGTATACCGTTGAATGTTTCCTTTGTACCTTACTTCTCCGTGGAAGTATAATACAGTATTAGCTCTTCATTAACATTTACTCAGAATTGAACTATCTGTCATGAGCATTTGTTTCTTCTTTTTTTGATCTTCATCAACCCCAAGTTGAGTTACGAAAGAACAAAAATATCTCATCAAAACATTATATCAAGGCAGAATCAGGAAGTCAGTAAATAAATAATATTCCAATGAAATATTTCCATTCTTTTTCTTCCAAATCAAATTAAGTAGTTTAAAAAGTTTAACAAACCTAAATTCACTTGGTCTTCTGGTGATAGTCGCATCAAATCACTAGAGTCTCATTTTTGCCACAGAAGATGCCTTATAGGAGGAGCGATAGTCTGGTTTTGTAGTGTAAATATTGATTTGACGGACACTCACCGGAAGACTGAATCTTAATCTTAAGCTGGTGATCAGTGTGGTTAATAGTAGAGGAAACATCTTGATAGGGCAGTTTAATTTTCAAAGAGAGGTTGGTTAACATCTTGACATAACAAAAGAGGCTTACCAACATAGTCCTAGCGTTTAGCTAAATACAGGGATTATTATACTAACGTGTTGTCCTTGTTACAGAGGGCCACTGACAGGTCATGGAAGCAGGTCTGGGCAGTGCTGCGAGGACCTGTGCTCTACCTCTACAAGGAGAGAAGGGACTCTTTGCCCCAGTCTGAGGTAAGGTGTCATATTTATGCATGTAAAAAGATTTAGTTTTTTTTTTTTTTAGGACGCTAGGCAAGAGCCTGGGATTGTTTTTCACATTACTTCAAGCTAGACCTAGGGGTTGCGGCATTATCACTTCGATAAAATCCATTGGTGAGTTGGCGGGGATCGAACCCGGAACCTCAGGGACTGAAGTCCCGTGCTCTAACCACTATGCCAGCTCGCTCCCCGAAAATATCACCATACAGTAGAACCCCTCTTAACCGACCTTGTATTAATCGTTAACCGGATTATCCGCCCTAGCTCGTAAAATATTACTGTTTGTTTTAATCGACCTTCTTATGAGAGCAGTTCAGTTTAACCGCCGCTATCTAGCATCATCTCTGCATTTTCGTTCCCTCACTCGGCGATACAGTGACGTAACTACGGGGGGATGAGGGGGATAGAACCCCCCCATGGAAAGGAAAAAAAGCTGTTTTAGTTAGGCTGAACAACCTCTTCCATAATGGTTTAGTAATGAACATTTTTCTTAGAGGATCAATCAGGAATTTTTGCGGGTAATTTAATTTTTTAATCTATGTATCTTTAATTTTTGTAACGTATATTTAAATTGAATACCGTACATTCATTATACAAAGCAAAATGTTTTTAAGTTTGTCCACCGTCCTTAGGTCTGCCTTGCTTCCGTTGCGACGAGGCGCGGTGTAGGGGTGGGTGGCGGAGGGGTTCTGATGCCTGGGGAGGGTCACTCTTTCCACCGCAATAATTTTACCTACAGTCAGGGGTAAATCGCGAAAAAAATATTGGGGGGGGAGACACTTTGGATTTCCCAACTATATTACTCGAATTAACCCAACTATATTACACGAATTTCCCAACTATATTACACAAATTTCTCAACTATATTACACAAATTTCTCAACTATATTAATATCAAGTTTTAACTGTAGCTTATGGATATTTTACATTTAAATCCTCTTTATAGCTGACATACAAAAATAACAAGAATGCAGTTTCTCACATTATTGGTTTTGACGGTCAATCTTCATTGTTGATTGTGCCTTAAGTGTCTCAACAAATGTCCACACTGTAGATCTACTGATCAATTTTCAGCCTGTTAAAATCAATTCATAATAAAAACTCAGTAGATAGATAGGCTCTTCACGCGCAGCTCAGAAGGCTACAGTACAACAACAACTTGAAATGATAATTTGTTCGTTTGTTGTGTTGTGATAACATTATGATTTAGTTACTTGCTATATCCTGATTCTGACCGGCCAGAGACAGCCTAAATTGGGTTGATTTTTGTAGTTCTTTTGAAAGTGATTACCTGTGGAATTCCAGAAAACGCAAGTTTGGAGTTCTGATTTTTCAAAGTTTTCCGGAGGGGACCAGGACTTCAGATGCTTTGATGACACACTATCACAGCCTGACAATGGCTTTGTTTTCATGGAATTGATTACAGTATTTCTACTACCTCCTTCTTGCTTACGGGTTTTAAGAAAAACGAGGTTTCAGAATAAACAGATTTCAAAATTAGAGGAATTTTGACAAGCATTTAAATTTCCACTGCCTACTTCCACAAAAAAATCTATCGAACACATTAGAAACCAATTTTGGATCAAATGAACAACTCTCATCCTTGATGTTGCTGAGAATATCAGAACGTAGTTTCCTCAAGCATATATTTTCATTTACAATGAATGTTTGGTTTACACTGTGCTTAGTTGTATTTGACAATGTTTACATACTAAAATTATAATTACACCTTTAAACAAAAGAATAAATCATTTTTAATTTAAGAAAATGATAGGTTGGTTACAACATTTTAAGATAGCCTAAGAAAACATAAGTTTCTGTTGTATTGTTGACACAATCAGGGACCATTTTCTGTCTCGGACAGGGTAAGGTCATCTCATGTAGGGTTCTGCTGTGGTCCCTGGTAGGGTTCTGCTATCGTCTCTGGTAGGGTTCAGTTATCATCTCTGGTAAGGTGCTGCTATTGTCACTGGTAGGGTTCTGCTATTGTCTATGGTAGGGTGCTGCTATTGTCACTGGTAGGGTGCTGCTATTGTCACTGGTAGGGTGCTGCTATCGTCTATGGTAGGGTTCTGCTATTGTCACTGGTAGGGTGCTGCTATCGTCTATGGTAGGGTTCTGCTATTGTCACTGGTAGGGTGCTGCTATTGTCTATGGTAGGGTGCTGCTATTGTCACTGGTAGGGTTCTGCTATTGTCTATGGTAGGGTGCTGCTATTGTCACTGGTAGGGTTCTGCTATTGTCTGTGGTAGGGTGCTGCTATTGTCACTGGTAGGGTGCTGCTATTGTCACTGGTAGGGTGCTGCTATCGTCTATGGTAGGGTTCTGCTATTGTCACTGGTAGGGTGCTGCTATTGTCTCTGGTAGGGTGCTGCTATTGTCTCTGGTAGGGTGCTGCTATTGTCACTGGTAGGGTGCTGCTATCGTATATGGTAGGGTGCTGCTATCGTCTCTGGTAGGGTGCTGCTATCGTCATTGGTAGGGTTCAGCTATCGTCTCTGGTAGGGTTCAGCAATCGTCTCTGGTAGGGTGCTGCTATTGTGTCTGGTAGGGTGCTGCTATTGTCTCTGGTAGGGTGCTGCTATTGTCACTGGTAGGGTGCTGCTATTGTCACTGGTAGGGTGCTGGTATTGTCTCTGGTAGAGTTCTGCTATGGTGTCTGGTAGGGTTCAGCTATCATCTTAAGTAGTATTTAGCTACAGCCTCAACTAGGGTTCTGCTATCTTCTTAAGTAGTATTCAGCTACCACCTCAGGTGGGGTTCAGCTATCGTTCTTGTCAGATACCTCAACTAGGGTTCTGCTATCTTCTTAAGTAGTATTCAGCTACCACCTCAGGTGGGGTTCAGCTATCGTTCTTGTCAGATACCTCTACTAGGCTTCTGCTATCTTCTTAAGTAGTATTCAGCTACCACCTCAGGTGGAGTTCAGCTATCGTTCTTGTCAGATACCTCAACTAGGGTTCTGCTATCTTCTTAAGTAGTATTCAGCTACCACCTCAGGTGGGGTTCAGCTATCATTCTTGTCAGATACCTCTACTAGGGTTCTGCTATCTTCTTAAGTAGTATTCAGCTACCACCTCAGGTGGGGTTCAGCTATCGTTCTTGTCAGATACCTCAACTAGGGTTCTGCTATCTTCTTAAGTAGTATTCAGCTACCACCTCAGGTGGAGTTCAGCTATCGTTCTTGTCAGATACCTCAACTAGGGTTCTGCTATCTTCTTAAGTAGTATTCAGCTACCACCTCAGGTGGGGTTCAGCTATCGTTCTTGTCAGATACCTCAACTAGGGTTCTGCTATCTTCTTAAGTAGTATATAGCTACCACCTCAGGTGGGGTTCAGCTATCATTCTTGTCGGATACCAACTACGTTTTGAAACTTAGAACCAATTAGAAAATCTCATATAACGGATTTATAATTTTAAATTTATCTTTAACTAAAATTTTTTACATTAGTTCAACTTAGAATTTTTAAATATGCAAACTAAGTTTCTATGGGAACAATTTAAAGTTTACTAACACAATTAATTATTACTAGCTGTGTACCCGTTCTACGCACGGGGATCTTATAATATTCAGTTGAAACCTTCTTATATAAAGAACAGCAGTTGGTTTGCATATTTTAAGATATGCTGGCCAAACTATTATACATAGCTTCATTTTATGTTGTTTTTTGTTGTTCCGGATCGGTATGACAATCAATAAAAGGTTAAATTACCTCTGTGTCTGCCGGTCGATCCTATAACGGTAGGCTTACTTTTATTTTTACTATCTGATCTCGTTTGCATGGCTCAATCACGTCCTGGTTGAAGTTCGTTCGCTACGCTCACTCACCTGTATGTTGGAGCTCGTTCGCTGCGCTCACTTTCCTTCAGGTTAGCTCGTTCGCTACGCTCACTTGCCTTCAGGTTAGCTCGTTCGCTACGCTCACTCGCCTCCAGGTTGCAAATTAGCTGTTGTCATAAATGTAAAAGAAATAATAGTGCTAGTGCTGCACCCTGTTGGTAATCCTTGTAACTTTAATGCTATTGAACATCACAGAACAGAACCAACTTGTTTAATTGAAACAGCTGTTAAGATTCAATAATTTCATTTCTCATAAGGTTAACATGGGCTTCCAGAAATTCCACGTCAAAAATCGACAAAAACTTGATTTTCAAGGGTTTACTGTTAAATATCTAACTGTCTCATATTCGATGAAATACGTCTAAAACCATCTCATATATGTATAGTATTTGGAAAATAAGTTTCAGGCGGGACAGTGCTATAGTTATTGAGGAGTAGTTGTAATAAAGTGCGTATTTTAGCGTTACCAAGAGAATGACAGATAGACAGACAGACAGACAGACAGACAGAAATTGAGATAAGGTTTGATTCGGTTTCTCTGACCTATGAAATGTAAAAATAACCAAAAAGTTCATTATTCTAAGCAATGTACAGACAAAACTCTAATTTTATTTATATAGATTATGTTTTTGTTATGTCTTGTACTAACAAGGTGATCCTGGTCTTGTTAAGAAAACTCTTCATCACCGTGTTGATGCCAGATTGGTTCTAAAAAAGATTGCAACATTCAATTATCCTGGACCCCTCTATTTGCTGGGGGGGAGGGGTATTCCATACTCCCCAGGCCCCCCTAACTGAAAGCACCATTCCCAGACATTACGTTGGTTTTGTACACTTCACACACTTGATCTTGACAATAAATTGCTACGTGTCTTCTTTGAAGTGTATGGTCAGCCAAAAAGTGTGTTACAGTATGCATTCACATGTAGTGGGTTTTTACAATTGCAGCACAATAGCAAGTCCTCAGTAATGGGGAAAAGTCTTTGAGAAGGCCAAAACGTCTGTGCTAGTAAGTGCGCTATCAGGGCATGCCTATCGGCGTCACACAAAAACGTTCAAAATTACCTAATCTATAAAACCAAAGATAATCTCAACGAAGTGGACCATGACCCCGCTGCTGACCGACTCCTT